TTTTTTTTTTTTTTTTTGCTTTTTGTTTTTGTCTTTCAAGACCTTGACATTTTGGGGGGTATATATTGGCCAGTTATTTTATAGAATGTTCTTCAATTTGAATTTGTCTGTAGCTTCAGGTAATACATTTTGGCAAGATTACCGTAGAAATGATGCTCTATTCTTTTGATGGGACTAGATCAGGAAGTATATGATGTTTGTTCTATTTCTGGGCATTAACTTTGATCATGTGGTTAAGATTGTGTCTGCCTGGTTTGCCACTGTAACGTTAGCATTTTTCCTTTTGTAGTTAATCTATTTCTAGACAGATACGTTTCGACTTATGTACATATTTCTGTTACTGCAAAACTTTTACCCACTAATTTTGGTATCCATTATTCTGATGGTGATCACTGCCAAATTCCATCATTTCTTCTACAGTTATTAGTTGTTGACTTTCTATGGACTTTCTCTTCTCCCGTTTATTTGTTTATATCACTATAGGTTATTTATTCATTGGGTTGCAATCTATTACTATAATTATTGATATTTAAATTATCCCTGATTTGGCCCCTTTAAGCTGACTCCTTGTCCTTTTGTCATGTCCCCTTTTGAACACTTCCTTACGTTCTGGCACAAGATAGTTCAGATTCATTTTATACTTGAGCTACCACAGACCTGGAATCAGCCAGTTTTCCAAGGAAGCTAATCTGTGTGTGGTTTTTTTTTGATGCTTATTCATTTTTTTGACAGAGAGAGACAGAGCGTGAGCAGGGAGGGGCAGAGAGAGGGAGACACAGAATCTGAAGCAGGTTCCAGGCTCTGAGCTGTCAGCACAGAGCCTGATGCGGGGCTTGAACTCACAAACCATGAGATCATGACCTGAGCCAAAATAGGACGCTTAACCAAGTGAGCCACCCAGGCACCCTGAATTTATGTTTTAAGTAGAGGAAGGAATCTTATATCTTATGCTGACTTTCTAAAATAATATTGACAGGTGAAACATGGAAATTCCTTTAAAAATGTTACCATTCTTTAAGATTAATTCATTCTCTCATTCACTGAGTTTCCTTTCTGTGCTTGGAGCTAAAGACTTCCAATATAAATGAAGTTTAACTCCGGTTCACATTTCAAAAATAATGTCAGAATAATTATTGCAGGCAGTTAACATGCCATAAATATTCCAAGATGAGCTAGAAACCTGGGAATTGAAGAGAAATTTGAGAAAAGAGTAGAGGTTGAATAAATAGAAGCTGAAACGACATTCAGTTCGTGGGTACAGCATGAGCAGAGGTATGGCACTGGGAATAAGCATGTCTTATTAGGGAATTTTGAGGAGCCTAACTGGTTGGTAGAGATAATAATGCTGGTAATTAGTGGCTAGGTACTATTCGCTGGGAGCGTGGATTCCAACCTGGCTCGTTTCCTACAGGCAATGAAGAGTCCTTAAATTGGGGGGCTAGGTAGTCATAAAGAGCATGTTTTAAGAAGTTTAATGTGATGTTATATTGCAGAATTGATTGGAAAACAGAAGAAACTTAGGAAACTATTAAAATAATTGAGTCTAGGGTAGTATGAGGACAAGTTGAAAGGAATTTGGAATGTAATTTAGAAGGAAGAAATGGTTTAATGTGTTGAATCAGGGTCATTGGAAGAATGGGGAACCCTGAAAGAAATAGGAAACTGGTGACCTTTATAAGGGAAAGAAAAGAAATAAATTGCAAAGAGGACCTCAAAAACAGGTTCAGTGATATCAAAATTGTATTTTAACTTTTTTTCTAAAATGCTTGATTAAAAGCCACAACTACTTCACAAAATTACTCCACTTTTTACACAAAACAATATAGTTTAAAAGCGATGACTTAGGGCTATATAATATTGTAACTATTAGATATGGTAATGCTTACTAAATCACAACACGTGTTAGAGATATTTGGTAACAGCTCTTTCATCATTTTAGACTTCTAGTGAAATAGGACATTGCTGTGCTAACATATTCCATCACGTTGCCAGTCTCAAATCAGATCTCTGGATTGAGATCCAGCTTCCTGATCTATTTGAGATGTCTGCCTCTCGTTGGCACTGGGGCTGAGAAATTTGTTTCCAAGTGTAGCGTTTGGTTCTCTTTGTGTTAATGAAGTTCACATTCCCATCCCTGTCTTTAAAAGAAGATACTCCGTTTTCAACTTCAACTTTGTTTTGAGAAGAAATCACTAGAAACTAAGACCTTAACTTTCAAGATCTTCAAATCACCAAATATTGTGACGAAGACGTCTTTGCCATATGTTGAGAGATACACTCTAGTGTGGTCGTGTGGAAGGTGCCTAGGTCCATACATGCCACAAGAAGTGGGAAAGGGTGTTCCTGAATAGATCGTCTGCCATTTCATTAATTTTTACAATTCAGCATAGCTCCGTGTTAACCAGACCATCCTTCTTTGCGGCTATAGCAAGAAAAGTGACTCAGTATCTCTCCAGCTACTACTTGTTATCTCTCCAGCTACTCTCACTTCAGGCTTTTTGCACTGGCTCGAATCCTAGAGGTTCCATCTGAGAACTAAACCTCATTCAGTGCATGGGAGACCCAGCCGGCTCGTTCCCTCATTTGTTGATAAGTTAATATATGGACTTGCTAATTAAAACGTGTGGGAAGAAATTATTACATGAAAGTAATGTATTAACCATATAATGTGTTGGGATAGGGCTGGGTGACTGTCATAATTTCTGCCGCTACAGTTTCTAAAAAGGAAAATAAAGTCGGTTCTTTTTGTTGGGAAAGAAGATTTCATGTTATCTGTGTTTGCAGGCTTTCTGGCTCCCATGCTGGAGGAATCCTTGCTGCGGGGGTGTTTTCATTCTCTCGTCTAACATGGCACTGGTCCATTGCAGCAGAGGTTTTCAGCTTAAACAATCTGTTTGTGGGGCTGCTTATGGCTCTTACTGTACATTTTGAGGAGGCAGCAACCGCCAAAGAAAGATCAAAGGTAACCTATTTTGATCAAAGTGAAATCACTTTTTGTTTTAATTTTTAGACAGTTGCTATATTTCCTTTTAACTTTGGTTTGGGCGCTGTGTATCTGATCTGATTACTGTCAAGGTAATCTAGGCATGTCGAGAGAGAAAATATTCTGAGTTCTTTTACGGTGACCCGTGATAGCCTTTATACAACATGGGACTTTTTTTCCTCTCAGAGTTCAGAAGCTTTCTGGAGAATGAGAGGATTGGAACCCCCTCCGAGTCCTATGGGAGAGATAGGCTTGGTGGTTAGCCCCACCGTCACGTGTGTGTGCATGTGCGCGTGTGTGGTCGTAAGAGGCCAAGCTCCAGACTGACCACCTTAGGTTATATGCCAATATGGTACATTGACTGACTCTCTAATTGCCAAAAAGATCCAATTTGTACTGTTGGGGCGGGGTGCACCTGGGTGGCTTAGTCAGTTAAGCATCCGACTCTTGATTTCGGTTCAGGCCATGATCTCACAGTCATGAGATCAAGCCCCGCATCAGGCTCCATGCTGGGCGAGAAGCCTGCTTAAGATTCTCTCTCCCTCAAAAAAAAAACCAAAATATTGTACTATTTTTTAACTATAAGAAGAGTATCAAATGTATAAACAAAGTAGTTCAGAAGAGGTTACAATAAATTATAAGGCAAATGCTAATATCAGAATCATTTGAAATGTGAAGGAACCCGGTCTTCTAGGAGCTTACAGTCTACACATTGGAAGGTACCAAACCATCTTAGTATAGGCAACTTTTTGTTGCTAAAGAATATATGAACAGAAGAATACCCTGGTTTATCTGGGGTTTCCATAAACAGTTCTGTGCTGCTTTAGAGTTTACTTTTTGTTCAAAATAACTTTTTCTGATTATGAAAATTGCACATGTTCAAAAAGAGCAAAAACAGCACCCATGACTTGGTTTCTAAATAAAAAAGTGTTATACCTTATTTTACTTATTATTAAAATTTTTTTTGACATTTATTTATTTTTGAGAGAGAGGGAGAGGCAGAGAGAGGGAGACAAAGGATCCGAAGCAGGCTCCAAGCTGTGAGCGCAGCTCACAAACTCCAAACTCCCAAACTCCCAAACCATGAGATCATGACCTGAGCTGAAACCAGAGTCAACCACTTAACCAACTGAGTCACCCAGGCGTCCCTATTGTACTTTATTTAATAGGAGAAAAAATGAAACGGAAAGAATGACTGAGCTTTAGTTACAGGTTTTACTTCAATGACACAGTATCCCATTGTTGTTAGGACTTATCTGGTCATCACACAGAACTTTCGGAAACTTAATTTGAAGGCAGTCATGTAAGGTCAAACTGCAGTGATTGGATGAGAATGGGCAATATTAGAAAAAATAATGGTGATAAATATTAGTGTCTGTTGAAGTGTGACTGCTTGTGTCTAAGAGGTTGACTTCAGCCTGACCTATGGTACAAGTGCTTGGTTTTAATATAAAGAATAGTTTTTTACCATCGTACTTACTTATGAGTTTTAGATGAATTTTTAACTTAGATTTTTTTTTTTTTCAGATAGCTAAAATTGGTGCTTTCTGCTGTGGCCTTAGCTTATGTAATCAGCACACAATAGTACTCTATATTTTGTGCATAATACCATGGATTCTCTTCCGACTTTTAAAAGAGAAGGTAGGTTTTTGAGTGTTTTTAATGAAAATTCATAATATTTTATTAAGGCCCGATATAACATTTATGGCATCAGAAAATGTGTAGCTTTAAATTTTTTTTAGTTTTCTATAATGTGTAAGTGACCTGAGGCTCTAACAACATTGACTGGAAAAAAAATAGGATTTACAAAAATGCAGTATTGATTGCAGTGGCATCTCGCCTGTTTCATCATTTTCTTAGTGATTCTGAACAGCACCTTGATAAAAATAGGAGTTACAACACTAATAACAGATTTCCTTGATTGTTTTTTTATATGTTCTAAGACAAAGGATAGTGTATTCATAATAGTTTATTCATTCATCCAGCTGTTTGTCAAGCCCCTGCTCGCTGCCAGATGCTACTCTAGGTGTTAGGGATGCAGCGCCCAACAAAACAAGACACTGTCACTGCTATTGTGACCCAAAAAATAAAATCTCTGGTAAATAACAATCCTGTTTTCTCAGAACAGATTTCTGTAGAATTCAAGATGATTTATTTCAGCTTTTCCTTTCTCTCAAAGGAAAAATTATTATTAATTTAAATAGCGGTATAAAGCGACATGAGAAAATTACTATACTCTGTAAGGCGTTAGGAGATGTACGTAAGAAGGCAGGGAGCTGAGTTAGGTGTGAGTTTTTGGAAAGACGGAAGCCCTTTATTCTGTCAGTCTTCCTGCCAGAGGTTGAAGCAATCTAAACACAAAGCCAACACTGGAGTCATTTTACTTACTGTTTATTGGTTTGTTAATTATTGTTTATTTGTCAGCTACATTTATTTATCATTTCATTGTTTGTTGCTATAGTCAGAATTATATTAGAAAATACATGTTTAATAAAATTATTATACAGAAATAGGGAAATTGTTCCAAAACTTTAGGTAATTGTATTTACTGTACTTGAACATATTTTGTCCTTAGCTTCTGGCAACAAAGCAAAAAGGATAACACGGAGGTTATAAAATTCTTATGCGATCAAAAATAGATAAAAACGGAACATAACAATTGACAGGAGAGATCAACTTTTTCTTGGAACTGGATTCTGTGAAGTCAGTCACGTCCATTATGTAAGGAATATTAGCGTAGCAGGCAGTGTCTAATAGTGGTATTATAGAATATACAGAAAGTTCTTTATCTGGTCTTTTATTATATAAACGCTTGATTTTTAAAGTTGGAGATATAACATAAAAAATATAATTCAGTGAAGGCTTCTCTATAGAGTACAAACCTGAGGAGGCGCAAATATTTTCCTTGCAGATTGACGGATACACAGATGGGGGTGCCCTCACACCCTGCTGTCCGTGATCTTAGCCGGCGTCTTTTTTATTTTTCCAGTCTTCATTTTTTTCCTTTTTCTTTTTCCAGCTTATTGAGATACAATTGACATATAATACTGTGTAAGTTTAAGGCATATAAGATGATGATTTGATATATGAGGTTACCACAATGCGGTTCTTAACACATCCATCACCTCATGTAGTTAAAATTGTGTGTGCGTATGTGTCGAGAACTCTTAAGATCTATTCTCATAGCATCTTTCAAATGTACAGTACAGTACTATAATGACCATCCCCCAGACTTACTCATTTTATAACTTTCTCGTTTTATAATTATTTGCACACTTTGACCACATTCACTCATTTCCCTCAATCCCTAAACCCCACCTCTAGTGATCACCAATCTACTCTGTGTTTCTGGGAGTTCAGTTTTTTGAGATCCCACGTATAGGTTAGGTCATTCAGTATTTGCCTTTCTCAGTCTGACTTATTTCATTTAGCATAATACTGTCAAGTTTTATCCATGTTGTTGCAAATGGCAGAATTTCCTTCTTTTTTGTGGCTGAATAATACTTCATATTATGTATGTATGTATATATGTTTTCTCTTAGGAATTTTATAGTTTCAGGTCTTTCAATCAAGTCTGTAATCCATTTTGAGTTAATTTTGTCTGTGGTGTAAGATAGTGATCCAGTTTTATTCTTTTGCATGTGACTGTCTGGTTTTCCTAACACCATTTTTTGAAAAGACTGGTCTTTTCCTCTTGTGTATTTTTGCCTCTCTGTCATAAATTAATTAACCATGTGTGCCTGGGTTTATTTCTGGGCTCTGTATTCTGTTCCATTGATCTGTGTCTGTTTTTACCCCAGTGCCATACTGTTTTAAATACTGTAGCTTTATAGTATAGTTTGAAAAGCCTGCAGCTTTGTTGTTTTTTTTCAAGATGGCTTTGGCTATTTGGGATCTTTTGTGGTTTCATACAAGTGGATTGTCCTATTTCTGTGAAAAATGACTGGAATTTTGTTAGAGATTGCATTGAATCTGTAGACTGCTTTGCATGTTTTAACAGTCCTAACTCTTCCAATCCATGAACATAGAATGTCTTCCCATTTATTTGTGTCTTCTTTAGTGTCTTTAATCAGTGTCTTATTGTTTTCAGTGTATGGGTCTTTCACCTCCTTAGTTAAATTTATTTGTAGGTAGGGGCGCCTGGGTGACTCATTTGGTTGAGTGTCCGACTCTTGATTTCCGCTCAGGTCATGATCCCAGGGTTGTGGGATCGAGCCCACATCAGGCTCCATGCTGAGCATGGAGCCTGCTTAAGATTCTCTTTCTCTCTTCCTCTTGCCTGCTCACTCTCTAAATAAATAAATAAATAAATAAATAAATAAATAAATGAATGAATGAATGAATGAATGAATGAATAAATAAATAAATAAATAAATAAAATTATTTAAAAAATTACTTGTAGGTATTTTATTCTTTTTTGATGCAATTGTAAACAGAATTGGTTTCTTAATTTCTCTTCCTGATAGTTCATCGTTACTGTATAAAAAGAAAGCAACAGATTTTTTTATATTGATTTTGTACCCTGCAACTCTACTGAATTCGGTTAGTAGTTCTGACAGCTTTTTGGTGGAGTCCTTAGGGTTTTCATTATATAAAATCGTGTCATTTACAAATAGTGACAGTTTTACTTTTTCCTTTCCAATTGTATGCTTTTTATATTTTTTCCTGCCTAATTGCACTGGCTAGGACTTCCAATACTATGTTGATTAAGAATGGTAAGAGTGGGCATCCTTGTCTTATTCCTGATAATAGTGGGAAAGCTTTTAGCTTCTCACTGTTGAGTATGATGTTAGCTGTGGGCTTGTCACATATGGCCTTTCGGTGACCATATACCTACTTTGTTGGGAGTTTTTATGGTAAATGAATTTTATAAGTGGTTTTTCTGCATCTGTTGAGATGATCATATGATTTTTATCTTTCACTCCATTAATGTGGTGTACCATGTTGATTGATGTGCAGATGTTGAATCATCTTTGTATCCCTGGAATAAATCCCACTTGATCATGGTATATGATCCTTTAAATGTATTGTCAAATTGAGTTTACTAATATTTTGTTGAGGATTTTTGCATTGATGTTCATCAGGGATATCTAATATGGCCTATAATTTTCTTTTTTCTTTTCCCTTCCTTCCTCCCCACCTTCCTTCCTTCCTTCCTTCCTTCCTTCTTTCCTTCTTTCCTTCCTTAACTTTTGACATTTTAATTATAATGTGTGTTGGTGTGGGTCTCTTTGGGGTCATCTTCTTTGGAAGTCTCTGGGCTTCTTGGATCCAGATGTCTCTTTCCTTTCCCAGGTAAGGGAAGTTCTCAGCAATTATTTCTTCAAATAAGCTTTTTGCCCCTTTCTCTCTTCTCCTTCTGGGACCCCTATAATACACATGATTTTCTACTTGATGTTGTCCTGTGAATCTCTTAAGCTATATTCACTTTTACAACTTTTTTCTTGTTGCTGCTTGGTTTGGGTGAGTGCCACTCCCTCTATTTCAGCTCACTGATTCTATCTGCTTCATCCAGCCTGCTCTTGAACTCCTATAGTGTATCTTTCAGTTCAGTTATTGTATTCTTCCGTTTTGTGACTTTGGTACTGCCTTATGTTTATGTCTTTGTTGAACTTCTCACTGTGTACGTCCATTCTTCTCCCAAGTTTGGTGAGCATCTGTATGACCGGTACTTTTAACTCTTTGTCAGGCAAGTTACTTATCTCTGTTTGATTAAGATTTTTTTCCCCAGGGTTTTATCTTGTTCTTTCATTTGAAATGTATTCCTCTGTCTCCTCATTTTACTTGACTCTCTGAGGTTGATTCTTTATACTAGGCAAAATGGCTGCCTCTCCTAGTCTTGCAGGAGTCGCATCGTGTAGGGGATGTACCTCATTGTTTAACCTTGCTCTAGTTGTCTCTCAAATCTTTATGATTGTCTGAGCAGCCTGGGTTTTCCTTGGTAGGTTCCAGTTATTGTGTTAAGGCCTGTGAGTGTTCCAGATGGAGGGATCTCAGCACCTAGTTTCAGGCTGATTGGAAACTAGAACCTCAATTAGCATCTTTAATGTATGCAAATATATATATGGTCCCGTGGGACTGTAATCATAGGCCTTGCTGGCCTCCAGACCAAGCAATCTGGAGGCCTCCCCTTAGGGACTGATGCAAATTCGGGGCTCTAGACGAGTATATGAGCTTCTTTCTGGGAGATGCCAGCAAGCTGTAGTGAGGCCAGGTGAGAGCTCAAAGATGGTATCCTTCAGCCAGCGTTCCCTGAGAGCACTTCTGTAGCCTTTAGATGTGTGGTAAATCTGAAACTTCCCCACCCCTCAGGCTGAAGTTTTTTCACAGGAAGACCAAGGGTGTGTTTTAGTCTGTTGTCGGTGCAGCCCCTCGGGGATGGTAGCTTGTTAAGAACCGTCTTTCCAATGGTTTCAGACCCATAGGACTCCTAAACGCAATCCCCCTTGATCACCAGATCCACGCACTGAAGGGACATCCCCTGTGTGGGCTGTGCACACTGGCTGGCTTTGGTAGAGCCACGATGGAGTGGCACACAGGAATGGGACGCACTCACTGGCAATAACAGGGTCAAGGAAGAACGCCAGAAATGGTACCCTCCAGCGTCTCTGTCCCCAGAGAGAGTTCTACCACGCTTCTGCGCCTACAGCAGACATTTTAAGATTAACAAATGAGGGGCGCCTGGGTGGCTCAGTCGGTTGAGCATCCGACTTTGGCTCAGGTCATGATCTCGCGGTCCCTGAGTTCGAGCCCCACGTCGGGCTCTGTGCTGACTGCTCAGAGCCCGGAGCCTGTTTCAGATTCTGTGTCTCCCTCTCTCTCTGCCCCTCCCCCATTCATGCTCTCTCTCTCTCTGTCTCAAAAATAAATAAACGTTTAAAAAAAAATTAAAAAAAGATTAACAAATGAATCTTCTTCACTTACGGTCTAGCACTTTCTAGACTGCTGCTTCTGTACCAGGTTTTGGGGCGAGTGAGTCTATACGTTGAGCCCTTAAGAACAGAGTCTCTGTTTCCTACAGCACTGTGAATTTCCTGAATGTTTGCCCCTTTGGCTTTCAAAACCAGACATTTGGTGGGGGGTTGTTACTCTGGTGCAGGTTCCAAAGGTTGGGGTGCCTTATGTGGGGCACAAACCCCATACCCCTCAGGGAGAAGTCCTGTATTTACGAGATCCCTCCTGACTGTGGGTTGCAGCATTGGGGTGAGGTTTTCTGTAAGACCATGTCTCTGCCTCTTCTACCCGTTTTCAGGTGGCCCTTTTGTTCTTTGTTGTGGAGGTGCTTGTTCAGGTAGTTTTCAGGTCTTTGTAAATTTGTGTCCGTGGGTGGAGGTGAGTTCAGAATCTTCCTACCCTGCCATCTTGAACTGCCTCCTGATTACTAAAGCTTTGTAATGTAGTTTGAAATCAGGAAGTGTGATGCCTCCAGCTTCATTCCTCTTTTGCAAGATTGTTTTGGCTATTTGGGGTCTTTTGTGGTTCCATACAAATTTTAGGGTTCATTTTTCTATTTCTGTTAAAAATGCCATTGGAATCTTGACAGGGATTTCATTGAATCTATAGACGGCTTTGTGTATTATGGACACTTAAAAATTTTTAATTCTTCCAATCTGTGAACAAGGGATATCTTTCCATTTATTTGTGCCCTCTTCAATTTCTTTCATCAATGCCTTCTAGTTTTTAGTGTATCGATTTTTCACCTCCTTGGTTAAATTTATTGCTAGATATTTTATTGGTTTTGATGCTATTGTAAATGAGATAATTTTCTTTTTTTTCAGGCAATTTATTTTTAGTATATAGAAACACAACTAATGTTATGCATTAATTTTGTATCCTGCAACCTTACTGAATTCATTTATTAGTCTAACAGATTTTTGGTGGTGTCTTCAGGATTTTCTCTATATAAGATCATGTCATCTGCAAACAGAGACAGTTTTCCTTCTTCCTTTCTGATTTGGATGCCTTTTATTTCTTTTTCTTGCCTGAATACTCTGTAGTACTTCCAGGACTATGTTTAACAGGAGTTGGTAAGAGTGGGTGCCCTTGTCTTATTCCTGATCGTAGAGGAAAATCTTTCCTTCTTTCACCATTGAGTATGATGTTAGCTATGGACTTGTCATATGCGGACTTTGTTATGTTAACATAGACCCCGGATCAATTAAACCAGAATTATTTTAGGGTGGGATCAGCTACTGGCTCAGCCCTGCAGGTGGGTGAACCCTGGCTGGGATCTCTGTTTGGGCACCGCTGCCAGGAGGGACACCATCTGCAAAATCTGAGCACTGGTTGCTGAAAACCCTGCTCCCCGTCTCCTGTCTGTGTGATCCCAGTGGTTGAGCCCAGCCAACCCCTTTCCCCCACCGTGGTCCTCATGAGGTGAGAACTGAATGAGCCTCCTGGGAAGTGTCCTGCATGTTGGGGGAGCTGGATGTCCATCTGGGACTGTCTTTTCCCACTGGAAAAACTAGCCCCAGGGATGCTCTGCCAGTGCAGTGCAGTGCTGGCCTGGGGGTGGGGTGATGCAGTTAGAGTACTCCTCCTTCTTCCTAACACGGCCCTTCTTAGTCCTTGTGGTGCACAGTGTGCTTCAGCCTCACCCCTAAATCCTGGGATTCTTCACAATGATGTCTTGTCTATGGATAGTTGCTAGCTGGTGTTTTTGTGAGGAAGACTGAAGTCAGGAATGATCTATGTTGCCATCTTGGTGGCCTTACTCATAGATAGGCTTCTGACATCAGAGAAGGCGCTTTCAGATACCAGAGCGGTGCACTGACAGTCAGGAACTTAAAAAGTAAATGTCTTCAGGCGCCTGGGTGGCTTACGGGTCCGACTTCAGCTCAGGTCATGATCTCACCGTTTGAGGGTTCGAGCCCCACGTTGGGCTCTGTGCTGACAGCTCGGAGCCTGGAGCCCGCTTCAGATTCTGTGTCTCCCTCTCTCTCTGCCTCTCCCCCACCCACGCTCTGTGTCTCACTTTCAAAAATAAATAAATATAATAACAAAAAAAGGAAATGTCTTGCGTTAGTTAATTGAAAGAAGAGCCATATTCTTTCTATGAAACATGCAGGACTCAGAGTTGATAAGGTGGGAGCCTTGTCTGAGAGCCTGTTTTTCCCATACTTAGGTCAGCTACTGATGCGTGATGACATTTTGGGAAGTATGCCTCTTCAAAGGGCATTTCATTTTCACTAGTTAAATAGCAGAGGCTAGAATAAGGTCTACCAGTAAAGTGGCAGGGTACTTGGATCTCACTGGTCAGGTGATTTGAGGCAGAGTACGAAGTCCTGAGTCAGTTGGTTGCAACCCTCGCTACTCAGATTACCTAGGAAGCTTTTAAAAAGTGTGTATATGTGTGTACATATATGTATACG